TTATAATGTCTTTCGACATTTTCTGTAGATGGTCAAGCAAGACCACGGTTTCGATCCTAATCTTGTGGATCTCGTCAGTTTCCGATTAACTAAATAGACTGGTAGAGATTCGTTCTCGGTATCAGTCGGGAATTTTGCTCCCTATCCGGGCGAACCTCTCGCAGATAGCCAAGATGCCGATGTGGCCACCGATGAATAAGACGAGGATGGCATTTTGCCCGAAATCCTCTTTTTCGGCCTCCCAACATGCAAGCCACACTCCATGCTTTTACCCTTCTTTCACAGAAGAACACAACCAGTGACGTCACAGGGCTGTTTTGGCAGCGCCAAGATGGCCGCCAATTTTGATCTCAGCCGGTCAACTTCGAATGGTTAAAAATGTACTTTCCGCTATGCGTTGGCCCTAAAAAAGTACACAGCGTTTGCAAATAACGTTCAAACTCTGTTATATTGCAAAAATCTCGGATATGAAAATTACGTTTCAGTAGCACTTTAATAAGTTAAGTTCATAATTCTGGAGTTTCCCAGTGATAAGTAGATAAAAATAAACACACAAAAACACAATGTAATTTTGTCTATGGAATTCACCAGAATCAAAGAGCAAACCTGTTAAACTTCTCTTTGTTGATTAAGAACTTTTCTTTAAGATTTTTGTCTGCTCCATTCTCCCACCAGTATTTATGAAGATTTTTTTTGTGATTCTCACTGCAAAATAAACACAACATTTATCATATCATCCACCCTTTTACTCCCTTTTTGGGAACAAAAGTTATAGGAGGAACCTATACAATCCCTCCAATTGCTCTGACAAAGGACTAACGCTTGAAATGTCAGCTTTTTAACTCTTTACAGAGGCCAATTTACGATTACAACTTAGTTGATACATGAAAATATCACTGTCTTGGAAAAAATTGTTACCTTGCAAAGTGTTCAAAGAGTCCACCAAATTTGATAGTTACTTCTCTATCAGTGACATGTTTATTAATATTCTCACTGCAGAAGTGACACCAAAATCTTGACCCTGGCTCTAACTCACCATCTTCAACAGACGGTTTCTTCAGAAACTTGCTTGCTTCGTTAACCTAAAAATAAGGCAAACATAAACACTTTTATTTACCTAGGTTTAACTTTTATCAACGGGGTATTTCCATCTTCGCTGGGGCGAAGATTTTCTGGAAACAGATCAACCCTTCAGGATGCCTTCTTATAAGGTGCTGGTACCAACTTTGACAATTAGGGGAAGAGAGAGGCGAGGTAAGGAAAATAAATATGCATCTTTGCATACAAACCACCTTTTTGCCAAATTTCATCAGGATCTGGCCAAGCAAAGTTTTATGCTTTCTTGAATAAATATGTTTCCTTCCTTGGTCATGGTTTATACGGCAAATAATGCAAAACAGAAATTGTCCCTTCGCAACGTCTTCGCCATCCGCCATGATGAATATTTCCCGTGAGTCTTTTCAAACTGTGTGGTTTACCGCTGGCCTTGAATGTGCTAGCTCTTATGAAAAGAGATCCAAAGATTGATATCAGAATAATGGCAGTCATAACGACACAGATGTCGACACAGCTGTCAGCATTCTTCAAATCAAATGCATGAAACGCCAGTTTTTCACAATCGGAAAAAGCCTTTTGGTGTGGAAGCCTCACACCAACAGACAGCTTGTCATGCATGGCACACAGACAACTTATCTATTGTGATTTACAGGACAATGGTTGTTGACACTAGTCGTCGCCTGTCAATGAACAGAATATGCAACGATCCCGGTCTATTATTGTTTTAATACAGCTGACGCGCGGTTGAAAACGTAATAAAAGCTCTCATGATTATTTAATGAGGTTACCTGCTTGCCTAAGAAGAAGCAAATTAGCTCAGGATTATGCAACGAAAGAGACCCAGTTTTCATTCTCCGCACACAGTGCGACTGTTGACATTCAGTGTAATGCTGTCTCAATGTCACTAATGAGTTGTAAAGAACAGTTAATTGGCTGAGCTCTTGAAAAGGTCCTTAGGGCTTGTGATGTTTCCTGCTGTTTGCCTTTCGGTCAGGAGGAAAGGCAAAGAGTGATCTAACCTGCCTGTGCTCGTTGAATGTAATTATGGCACCTGAAGAGGCGAATTTGCATTAGCATGGCGGGAACTTCTGTTGTGTGTAATTCCAACCTGAAGACATCAAGCAATGCCTCGGGTCCACAGGCTGCTTTTCTAAGCGATAATCCTTCTTTAAACGCAGATGGATTTGAATCTGAGCCATTCTTGTGTCATCACCACGGAACTGTTTGTTCAGCGTGTTCTAGTTCTGCCACTGTTGCGGAGAAATTAACCCGGTGCAAAACAGACGATGATAACTCGCCGAATGGAGGACTTATACGGGAACTGAAAGACTTCAAAGCGAGAAGCCTTGCTTTAAAATCAGCGTTAGAGGACGAAGCCGCGGTAAAGGATATTCAAAAGGAGTTGTCTGGCTACGTGTGTATTTGCAGTGACCCGAAGTATGTGCACTTGGTCAGTGGCTACCATGTGGAGTGCATCGAGAAGGTTTGTTCCAAGAGGGAGGCCTTCACAAAATACCACAAAAATCGATTTAAAACCTACTCTGATTTCGGATCTACCAAAGCTAGTAACCATGTCACTAGTACAGTGGCGCCTGAGGAGTTTTACCGATATTTCTTTTATGGTGTGAAGCATTGGAATTACTGCGCGAAAGAGGAAGACATCGGCGCAATAATAATTACTTTGAAACCCGAAGTAAGCAAACCACACTCTAAGGGATCTTTCAGGTAACGTATTAAGTCATGACTATGCTACCTTTTGCTGCAGGCGACTTCCCTAATGAGTGCTTCTAATTTACATTTTGTAAGGCTTCTCCTAAATGTAACCATATCAAATAGCAATAAAATTCTGGACCACGAATGAACGGTTACACTTTTTATCACGTTTGTTTCGGCGAATCATAATTTTCGAAGAACTCAGAAAATTTGCAATGTTCCCAAGGCCTTTTACATCGTTTCAAATTTAACCATAAAAACCGGAATGGTCTATCCATTTCTTTTACGTAAAGAAACAATATCTGTCCTTAATAAGCCTGTACGTGCTTTGCACAAGACGGATGTATCACTTTTAATCCGATATATGACTTAGCGGAAGGTTTTATTTTACCAGTTCATCTAGCATGTTCTAAGCCAGGTTGACCCCGTTATTTTATGTGTTTGCCAAGTTTGCTTTTATTTTATTGGTTTCACTTTTGATAAATATTTACATGTATCTTTAACCATGAGGTACACAATTGGTAAAAAAATTAATTGATTTTAATCAACTTCCATTCAACACTTATCTGCTAATGAAATGTTTGGTGTGGAGTGTCGCATTGAGTTACGACCACCAACAGATGGTAAGGGAATTATCTACCTCACAATTCAATGCTTGAGGCTTGGCAAGTCTGTATGAATAATTACAGGGCATAATGTGTTGACACATATAGACTGAGGAAACTGGTATATTACAATATTATACAGCATTTATGCTAAACATCTTGTTTTGATTATTTTTCCACATGTCTTAAAAGCTATGTATATTTAGAAATCAGACTTTGATCATTAATTTTGTTCACAGACTGGATGTACTGAAATGTTGCCAGCACTATATATTTGGGAGAACTTCTCCATAATTATAACATTTAAGTCACTTTAACATCATCAATTTTATTTAGATTTAACACTTATAACCTTCCATCCTTCCTCAAAGGGTTATGGTTCGCTCTGCGTACTACCTTGTCATTGGACTGCTGTCTCCCTCAAGTTACCAAGGCAGTCTTTCAAGCAGAGATGATGTGGTACACTTAATAAGTAAACAAGCTGATATCAAAGCGCCTGTGAAGCTGATTACAACCCCATCAGTACCAGCAGAACTCCTTAAGATGGACAGTGTGAGTTTTTACTTCTTTTAATACCCCCAACCACTGCAACGAGGATTGTGGTGGTTGGGGGTATTAAAAGAAGTAGATGCAGGGGTCTCCTGCAGCTATTAATTAGTTAATTTGGTTAGGCAGGGGACGTTAAAGAACCCGCTCACGAGATTACTGATGTGGTCTAGCCTATTTACTGGGAATTGGGG